CCTGCAGATTTATAGGTTCTGTAAACATCATTTCTGGCATATTTGTTCAGCATGACTGAAGATGAAGCATGTGTGTTTTTTTCACAGTTCTAGTTTTCCAGGGAGTGTAGCACAGCCCTGTTTTTACAGGGCAGGGAATGCCAGGAATGAGCCTTTGCCATCCTGCATGCTTGAGGCCATTCCCAATTTCACCTTTCCCATGGAGATAGGAGAAGTAGCAATGAGGTCAGCCCTGTGAACAGATCAGGGGTAACTGTGTGTGTGTGTATGGGGGGGGGGTGCTAAAAGGGGAGATTGAAGCAAGTTTCCTAACTATTTTATCTGTGAAGGGCTGTGTTACATAAATAAGAAAAGTCTCGCAGTGTGTACCACAGTCTTTGTTGTAATTGGGATGCTTATAGTTTTTTGCTTAAGATTTATTAACTTATTAGTGTGTGTATGATCTTCCATCCACTGGTTCACTCCCCAAGTGGCTGCAACAGTGAAAGCTAGGCCACCCCAAAGCCAGGAGCTTCTTCCGGGTCTCCCACATGGGGGCAGGGGCCCAAGGACTTGAGCCATCTTCCACTGCCTTTCCATGCCCATTATCAGGGAGCCAGACCAGAAGTGGAGCATCTGAGACCCCAGCCAGTGTTGATATGGGATGTTGACATTGCTGATGGCAGCTTAACCCACTGTACCTCAACACCAGCCCCTGTGGTACTTATGTTTATGTCAATCTACACTAGCATCTTTTATTTGCTCAAACCAAAATTTAGCAATTATCCTTTTCACCGTCCTCCTACAGGCAGTCATCCAGCAGGCTCTTTGTAGGGCTGACTCCTTATTCTTTTGGTCTCACCTTCAATGTTCCCTTTTCTATGGAGTCTTCTCTGACCAACTTTCACTAGTTTCACTCTTACGCCATTATTGGTTAGTTCCTTTCAGTACCTCTCACAATCAGTAATCGCTTGTCTGTTTTTTGCACAATGGTCACACTTCCCTTGGTGCATGTCTTTGTATTCTTTACTTGGCATATTAGGATCATGATATACCTACTCATTGGTTGGCTAGTTGTTGGTTAACTTATCTGCTCTTGTCTTCCTACTTTTCCTCCTTGATCATTGTCTGCCATACTAGCTATTAAGCCCACAAGGGTAGGGATGTTCCTTTTGTTCACCCTGTGCTTCCAGCTCATGACTCAATGTCTTGTACATAGTGTACATGCCATAAATATATGCTGCATGTCAGTTCACTCTAAATCATAGATCAGTGATATGCTGGTAAATGTCTTGCTCTCAAGAGGAAAAAACAGAGACCAGTTTGTAGTGTCGCCTAATATCTGTGATGTGAATACTCCCACTGTGGCAGATTGCAAGCTACTAAAATGACATCACTTATTCCTGAGCTGGAAAGCAGCACACAGTAACTCTTCATTATTATGGGCTCCTCCAGAGGAGCAGGCCTGTATGCATTTAGCAAATAGATCAACCATTTCATATGTCTGTTTCATTTGTAGAGTCCTTCTGAATCCTCTGAGGTCTTAGAGTCCTAGAGAATATTTCTACCATACAGATGTCAACTACTTCAAGAAATATTAGTAAAGTGTAGTGACAAATAATTAGCAAGTGATGGATTTTGAGTATTTGTTACATTTTTAATATAATTTAATATCAAATCCATATACTTTAATTTTTTTATATTGGCTGTGTTTAACAATTGGCTCGTAAAATATTTGACAATTAAATAACTCTCCAAGTACAGTGAACTGCAGCCACCCACTGGACATGAGATGTGAGTGAGGCCATAACCAAGGAAGGAAGCAGGTGGTATAGGTGGGTGGGTGCACTGTTGTTACAGAAACATTTCTCGGAGAGGGTTTTGTGTTTTGTTTTTTTTTTTTATGCCTCTATTAAATGCACTAGTAAAGCAAATGACATTAGTGGCTCCTTCTATGTAATTTGGTACAGTGATAAGAATAGGGAATAAAATGGCAGGAAATAAAGAAAGCATAGAGGAGTAACAACAGTCTTCCTCATCTATTCAGAGTGCTACAACATCTCTTTGCTAGAGATGCTTGTAGATGCTGAAGTGCTTGGTGGTCAAGTGCACTCAGTCTCCAGAAATTAGCCTGAAGCCAGAAATCCCTCGTGCCTGTTTCAAGTCATTGAGGTCTTGGTCAGCTGGACTCCTTGCCACGTCACATTAGTCTGCATGTTGTGTGGCATGGAAACAAGCCCCAGGTGGTGTCTGAAGCAAAGCCTGGGAACTCTTGGGACTCGGAGCAGATGACTAAGGGGCAGTGATCACTTAGGGATGAAATATCACAAGAATAGGAAACGTGAGAAGAGCCACCTTGCTACCCTGTGTAAGGTTTTCTTCTATAAAATAGAGGTGACCTTGGTATATTTATTTTTACATAATCAAAAGGCAGAGAGACAGATCTTCCATGTGCTGGTTCACTTCCAAGATACCCATAAAATCTAAAACCTAGAACTCAGCCTGGGTTTCTCACATGGGTAGCAGAGACCCAATAACTGTAGTTACTGCCTGCTGCCTTTCAGAGTATGCAATAATAGGAAGCTGGAATTGGAAGTGGAGTGGAGCCAGGTCTTGAACCCAGCCACTTCTTCTTCTTCTTCCTCTTCCTCTTCCTCTTCCTCCTCTTCCTCCTCTTCCTCTTCTTCCTCTTCTTCCTCTTCTTCCTCTTCCTCTTCTTCCTCTTCCTCTTCTTCTTCCTCTTCTTCCTCTTCCTCTTCTTCCTCTTCCTCCTCTTCCTCTTCCTCTTCCTCTTCCTCCTCCTCCTCTTCCTCTTCCTCTTCCTCTTCTTCTTCTTCACAAGGTGTCTGTATTAGTCCATTTTTTAAAGATTTATTTACTTATTTGGGGGCCAGGGCTGTGGCGCAGTGGGTTAACACCCTGGGATGAAGCGCCAGCATCCCATGTGGGCACCGGTTCAAGACCCGGCTGCTCTACTTCCCATCCAGCTCTCTGCTATGGCCTGGGATAGCAGTAGAACATGGCCCAAGTCCTTGGGCCCTTGCACCCGCATGGGAGACCCAGAAGAAGCTCCTAGCTACTGACTTTGAATTGGCGCAGTTCTGGCCAATTGGGGAATGAACCATTGGATGAAAGACTTCTTTCAAATAAATAAATAAATCTTTTTTTAAAAGACTTATTTATTTTACTTGAAGTCAGAGTTACACAGAGAGAGGAGAGGCAGAGAGTGAGAGAGAGAGATAGGTAGGTAAGTAGGTAGGTAGGTCTTCCATCCGATGGTTCACTCCCCAATTGGTCACAACGGCCGGAACTGCACCGATCCAAAGCCAGGAGCTTCCTCTTGGTCTCCCACACGGGTACAGGGGCTCAAGGACTTGGGCCATTTTCTGCTTTCCCAGGCCATAGCAGAGAGCTGGATCGGAAGAGGAGCAGCCGGGACTAGAACCGGCGCCCATATGGGATGCTGGCACTTCAGGCCAGGGCATTAACCCGCTGCGCCACAGTGCTGGCCCAAATCTAGCCACTTCAGTATTGGATGTGGATACCCCAAGCTACATCTTAACTGCAGCACCACATACCTATTCCCTTGGTATTTTTAGATAAACAGATTTAAAAAAAAAAAAAGATTTATTAATTTATTTGAGAGATAGCATTACAGAGAGAGTAAGTGAGAGACAAAGGGAAGGGTCTTTCATCCACTGGTTCTCTCCCCTAATGGTTGCAACTGCTGGCGCTGGGCCAGTCCAAAGCCAAGAGCTTCTTCTGGGTCTCCCCCCATGGGGTGCAAGAGCCCAAGCACTTGAGCCATCTTCCACTGCTTTCCCAGGCCATAGCAGAGAGCTGGATTGGAAGTGGAGCAGCTGGGACACAAACTGCCACCCATATGGGATGCCAGTGATGCCAGCAGATGCTTGGTCTAATAAGCTATGGTGCTGGCCCCTACCTATTTATTCTGACATTGGCTAGGGTTTCAAAACCCATGAGCACATGACTCAGTTCATAACCCATTTGCGTCTTTTTTTTTTTTTTTTTAATTTGAAAGGCAGAGTTACAGAAAGAGAAGGGAGATCTTTGATCTGCTGAATCACTCCCCAAATGGTCACAATGGCTGGGGCTGGGTCTCCCACATGGTTGCAGGGTCCCAAGTGCTTGGGCCATCTTCTGCTGCTTTCCCCATAGCATTAGCAGGTTGCTGGATTGGAATCCGAGCAGCTGGATCTCGAACTAGCATCCTACATGGGATGCTGGCACTGCAGGTGGAGGCTTAACCCGTTACGCCACAATGCCAGCCCCCATATGAATCCTTATAAGCTGATACATTCAGTCCTAAAATAGGCAATGATTGCTTTCTCCAGAATCAGAGATGTTTTCTTTTATGAGGTATCATCTTCACAGATTAGTTCAAATAACATTTAATAAGCCCATATTTAATGCCTGATACTGTTCTAGGGCCTGAGCTTATAGGCTAAAGGTTAAGATTTTGTATTCAAATGGTTAGGGTTTGTTTAAAGGGAGAGGACAATCAAGACAATAGGATTCTAAACACAGTATGGTATTAGCTGTGATACAGAAGGTGCTGGACCCCAGATGGAGGCGCATTAGGTTAGGGCCAAGGTTCCTAGAAATACCTGTCTTGGTATTGAAGTGTGAATGGAAGTTAATTAGGGCATCAAGGGGAGGTAGGATGCTTTGGGGGTTGAGAAGTCCTACAGAAAAGTGAAACACAGCATTCATACCAGGAACACAGTAAGAGTGGGATCCTGGAGCTGAGAACTAAAGGCAGAACATTGTATGGCTGTTGGTTCATTCCCAGGGAATTTCAAAGGAAAAGGGCAGTGAGACTAAGAAGACCAATGACTTCATAGTTTATATGAGACTAGTTTCCTATTATTTTTTCTCTTTTGGGATTTTGGTGATCTGATTCAAGAGATGGGATTTTCATGTGAAAGTAACAGTTGGTGGAGGATTGACAGCCAGATGTGTCCTTACCGTGCTTGGTTTTGCTGCTCTTTTTGCTACAGCTGCTGCCTATTCACACTCTGAGACTTGGCGTGGAAGTGGATTCCTTTGATGGGCACCACTACATCTCTTCAATTGCTCCTGGTGGTCCTGTAGATACCCTGAGCCTCCTACAGCCAGAGGATGAGCTTCTTGAGGTAAAATTTATGGTTGGAAGAAAGACTCAGGCAGGAATTTTTAAGTTGTAGGAAAATGTGTTCTCACCAGAAGTCTACTGGATTACATTATCATTCTTGCCAGTATAATACAAGCTGTTAGACTGCAAGGTACTTAACAGCTTATTGGATGAAAAAAGAAGTAGATGTCATGCTTTCAGTCCATGTTCCCTATCTGTTGGTGCTCCTGTGATATCCTTTTGAATGTTTACTTGAACAATTAAGTTTGGTACCACAATTTATATTTTTAAAATAACTATATATATTAGAGAGAGAGCACTCCTATCTGTCGGTTCTCTCCCTAATGGCCTGAGAGTCAAGAATTCCATCCAGGTCTCCCATGTGTGTGGTAGGGATCCAACTACTTTAGATATCATCTGCTCCCTCTCCTCCCAAGGTGTACATTAGCAAGAAGCTGGAATCAGTTTTGGAGCTGAGACTCCAATCCAGGCACACTAATATGGGATACAGGTGTCTTAACCACAGCACCAAATACACTGCCCTTGTTTTTTTTTTTTTTTTAAGCAATATTATTTTTAAGGATTTTATATCTGATCTTGTTGCAACATGTAGCCATATTACTTGCAGATTTTGTTGATTACTTCTAATAAGAATCAGAGCTGAATGGCCTCAGACTTACATAAAGTTAGTTGACTAGTTTTCAAGTTTTCTCCTTAGAAATTCCCTGTTAACATAACCTTCACTCAGGCTCAACAACCTTTATTCAAGATAGAGCAGTTCTAGAGCACATCTACTTTAAAATGACTTTGTAAAGAGATTTAGTCAAAACTAAGTTCCACAGCTAACACAGCAAATGAATAAAACAACACTGAAACCCCTAATGTTATGGATAAGTAAATAAGGCCCTGATTTCCCCAACTTTTTACACTGAATTAGTGATAGAAAACCCAACTCTCATTTAATTTGTTTTTTCAGTCACACTAACTCCTAAGCCCCTAAAAGAAATGTGGGAAATAGTCAAAAGAGATTACCTAGAAGCAACATCTCTTCTAATTGTTGGAATCCACAAGAAGCCCTAGGTTAAATTTAATAGATTCAACCTAGTAGCATTAACCAAAACAGAATCCCCTCAATCCTGAGTTGAGAGACTTCTTTTTAAAATTTACATTTTTCTCAAAGTGAAATGAAAAGTCAACAAGTAGGATTCACATTGGGTGCAACTGCAACTTATTAGTATTGTCCAAGCACCTACAGGAGTGTTTTGAGAAGAATTCTAGATAAAATTTCAAGCTCAAGAGATAAAAATACTAAGACTAGCAATCAAATTTTGTCATAAGTGTGGGAGGCCAGGGTATGGAAGTCCTCTTTCAAGATGTGGTGAGTAGTAAGTTGCTTATCTGTGGAGGTGTTCAAGGGCTGCTTATTGCAGATTTTACCCAATGACCTCTGCTTCCTTTTTGTATTGAGACCATGTCTTCTCTTCTGATGGGCAGTGCCTGGGGTGAACCATTTTAGCTTTTACACATGAAGTTCTGTAGATTGGAGACCATTGCCATAATATATAGCTGTAAGATACTGAGGAATGTGATATGTTTGTTTGAAAACTGTAGAAATATTTGGTGGTAAAATATACCTAACATGAAGTTTACCATTTAAACCCTTTTTAAATGTTAAACTTGATGGCATTAAGTATGCAGCATTACTAGTGTGTGGTGGAATGGGTCAGAGGAAAGCAAGTAGAGGTGATCTCAGCCATCCAATGAATCCGTTATGCTTTAGCTAAGATTGAATAAGATCTTCTAACAGAATGTGGTTTATTTGGGAAGCAAGATGATTTTTTGAATTAGGAAACATAGATTTATGGTGAAAAGACTTGAAAGAAGCCCAGGTTTAAAAGTCAGAAGATAGTCTCTGGGTTCTGAATTTGCTACAGTTTAACTAAGGGTATCTTTTCATGTCACTTAATTTTTTTGAGAATCAGTTTCTCCATGCCTACTTCACTATGTGTTTGTGAGCATCATGTGAGATACCATCCATGTAAAGTATTGGCCACATTCGTGGCATGAAAAAGGCATATTAACAAACTTTACAAGCTGGGCTGAGGTTTGAGTGTGGTAATATAGTGGAGCAGCACTTGCATAGTGCTGTACTTAAGAAAAGTCTGACCTTGGGGACGCGCGCGTATGTGTGTGTGTTGGGTAATTGACAAGTCTAGAGATAATTGAGGCTTGACAGTACTTACTAGAGTCTTGAGAGAGATTATGAACTCTAAAATAAAACTTGACTTTTTCCGAGTAACCAAATACAGAAATTTTAAAAGTCTCTGTAAAGTTGGCTAAATAACCTCCTGGACTCAGAATGTGTGTATGCGTGTGCATGTGTGTATGTGCGTGTTTAATGTACTCCTTAGAGCTTTAAACTAGATGCACAAAAAAGCTCTGGGATTAGAACACTGCCAAGTCTCAGCCCAGAACAGCTATTTACAGCAGCCACAAATCCCCTTAGATAGGAGTTGGTGATGGGAAATGTGACCAATCCCTTTAGTGATAGAGAGTAGTAAAGAGGACTACCAGGCACTGCTATAATAATTGGAGACAATTCAATGAATAAATAATGAACTAAATAAATATTTAAAGGTACTCCAAGATAAAAACCTGAAAAGCGACTTTCTAATTTGTTGAAGTGAAAAACCAACTAATCCTCATGTATGGGTAGAATTCCTGCTTTGATTGTATCTACTTGCTTTCTCTTAGTGTAGGTGACTGCCTGTTTAGCTGACTTCAGAACTTTCTGTGCTTGTGCCATCAGTTAGCGCTGTGGATATAGCAGGGCCAGGACAGGCATCTCCTTGTCCCTTCTTGTGTAAAGGTTGACTTGTGGTTTTTGCAAGAAAAAAAATGTAATCTCCTACTGAACTTGTTTTCTCCTGGTCCCCCTCACCAGTCATAAAGACCTGGGAGGTGATATTCTCTTTTCAAGTAGGACTAGCTCCCTAAATTGCTTGTGGGTCTGTTTACAATGTGGTGTTTTCTTTGTAAATAATTAAGAGGCAAGGAGATGTGTCTGGTCTTATGTTACAGGCTTGAGAGTGGTTTCCAGGTACCATTGGCTGAGCCCAGTGCGGATGGGATGCTTCTAGAAACCCAGTGTCCTCTAAATCTTTGGTGCAATGAAAGATTTGTGGGTGTCTTCTCCCAATAAAGTCAATCCTGCCAGTTTTCTGAACATTAGCACTATACATGTCAGAAATTAATGCCAGACTAGAAATACTTTGAACCTAACAATACCATTAAACCTTCCCAGGAAGGTAGGACTCAGGTGTGAGAAGTGTGTTGCCTCAATGGTGTTCATACCTCAACTTCTTGTAAGCAGCAGGAAGATCAGCTTTTAGTGACTTAAAGCTAGAAGTGAGAAAACTGCGCTAAAGTCATGTATATGAAAAATTATGAGACTTTCTGATTCATTTTTGGTGCAAAGCTTTTTTTATTTTTTAAAAATTTATTTATTTATCTGAAAGTCAGAGTTACGCAGAGAGAGAGAGGTCTTCCATCCACTTCCATCACTCCCCAGATGGCCGCAACTGCTGGAGCTGTGCCTGTCTGAAGCCAGGAGCTTCTTCTGGGTCTCCCACGCAGGTGCAGGGGCCCAAGGACTCGGGCCATCCGCTACTGCTTTCCCAGGCCACAGCAGAGAGCTGGATCGGAAGTGGAGCAGCTGGGTCTCGAACCGGTGCCTATATGGGATGCCGGCGCTTCAGGCCAGGGCATTAACCCACTGTGCCACGCGCTGGCCCACAAAATGTTTTTTAACAGTAAAATCAGGTGAAATTTAGAAAAGTTTTTGGTGATAGGGGTTAATAATTAATAAGGAATAGTTATCTATTTTTTTAAATGTAGGGACATTTGGGTAAAAACGTTTGAAAACTAACACTTTCTACATGTACTTGATATGTGTATCAGCACAGCATTTAAGAATGGAACTGATACAAAGTTAGGTGTATTTCTTTTCTATAGAAGTGATTTTTCTGGTTGGTATTAAGAGTATTACAGAAGAATATTGTGAGCTGATATTAAATTTTGACAGATGAGTATCCTGAATTTTGTTACCTACATGTTCTTAGTTGGGCAGCTTTTAACAGCCTTAAATTTAATATTAATATCTATAGTGATATTCTTAGTTAAATCAAAATTTAAAAGGAAATGATCTTAGGTAGTCTGTAAATGATTTTTGGTGTGTTTAAGGAGAGGTGGATAGAAGTATGTGAGAGAATACAACATTTGGAGTATCAAAATGAATAGCTGTGGAGGTGTGCACAAGTAAGTAGATAACTTGGTCAGTAATAGTTGTCCTCAGCACACACTTTATACTTCATTCACTGGGGTTGACTAAATCTTTCACCTGATTTTTTATAAATTTTAAGCATTTGCCAATGTTTTCAGGTACTACTAATAAATAAGATGATGAAATTTAGACTGTTTGTTAAAGGGAGCTTAAAGTGATATCCTATTTTATTTGGTAGATTGATATAAGCAAGAAACTCCTGTTTTTTCACTTAGGGGACCCCCTAAATCCTGATTTAACCTTTGTCCTCCTAGGTCAATGGTGTGCAGCTCTATGGAAAATCTCGCCGAGAAGCAGTCTCCTTTCTTAAAGAAGTGCCACCTCCTTTTACCCTGGTTTGCTGTCGACGATTGTTTGATGACGAGGCCTCTGTGGATGAACCTAGGACCACTGAACCTTCCCTTCCTGAGATGGAGGTACCAAGTGAATATGCTGTGATTCCCATAGGCATGCTCGTGGTTTGTTTTGTTTTGTTTTGTTTTGTTTGTTTGTTTTAAGATTTATTTATTTGAATGTCAGAGTTAGAGAGGGAGAGACAGAGAAAACTTCTGTCCACTGGTTCACTCTCTAGATGGCCATAGTGGCCAGGTCTGGGCCAGGCTCAAGCCAGGAACCGTGAGCTTCTTCTGGGTCTCCCATGTAAGGTGGCAGGGGCCCAAGGACTGACTTGGACCAAATTTCACTGCTTTTCCCAAGTACATTAGGAGGTAGCTAGATGCCCATGCTGCAGGTGGCAGCTTAACCTGCTGTACCACAGCACCTGCCCCGGCATGCTCTTTCATCAAGCTTCCCTGAAGAGTGGATGGAAATGTGGAGGGAAGGGGACCCAACCCAAGTGGCTCCTTTGTATTTCACTAAGGGAACAATGCATAGCTTTTCAAATTGTCAGTGTTCATTTAATGACATAAACTCTCCTGTCTTTAAAACATTGGCAACATTGATATGCATGCATTTTGGTTTTCGAGAACCTTTTTTTTTTTTTTTAAGATATTGCCTGGACTTGTACTGTTGGCTTCTAGTTCAACTCAGTTCATCATTATAAGTTTAAAATGTTGCTGTGTGTTGAGTATCTAATGGACTTCCCTTTTTCAGAGCCTTAAAAATATGAAGATCTGTGATCAGTTTCAAAATCAGTCTAGAAATTGCCATAAGAACCTTCAGAAGGTCAGAGAATGAAATCTTACCTAAGAGGCGTTCCAGCAGGATTTCAATTCTGAAAAGAGTTTTGAACATATTCTTTGCCATTGTATGCCATTTATAGCTTCATCTATTACGCTACATTTCCCCTTTTCCAGACTCTTTTAAAATTGTTTATGTATTTGGAAGGCAAAGAGAGAAATGGAGACAGAGATCTTCAGTACACGGTTCACTTTCCAAATGCCTATACCAGCTAGGTCTGCGCTATGCTGAAGCCAAGAGCCCAGAACTCAATCTGGGTCTTCCACATAGGTGGTAGAGACCCAAGTACTTGAGCCATCATCTGATGCCTCCTAGAATGCACATTAGTAGGTGGTTGGATTGGAAGTTGAGGAACCAGGAGTCCAACCAAGCACTCTGACATGGGATGCGCTCATCGCAGGAGGCATCTTAACTGCTGTGCCAACTGTCTTCGCCCAGACTCTTTTAGATTATAAATCTATTAAATCCAGTTTAGGGCCCTGGGACCTTCTCTTTCACCTAAATTCTGGATTTCAAGAAATTTGGACCCTAATCTTGCCTCTACCACTTAAGACTTGTGAGTTTAAGGGCAAATAATTTGACTTTCTGTTCATTTTCTTTTTTTTTTTTAAGACTTATTTATTTATTTGAATGTCAGAGTTACACAGAAAGAGAAGGAGAGGCAGAGAGAGACATCTTCCATCCCCTGGTTTACTCCCCAATTGGCTGCAACCGCTGGAGCTGTGCCATTCCAAAGCCAGAGGATCTGGGTCTCCCATGTGGGTGCAGAGGCCCATCTGCATTCCCAGGCCATAGCAGAGAGCTGGATCGGAAGTGGAGCAGCCGGGTCTCAAATTGGCACCCATATGGGATGCCAGCACTGCAGATGGCAGCTTTACCTGCTACATCACATCGCTGGGCCATCTCTGTTCATTTTCATCCTCTGAAAAATGGTGGTACTTACAGTAATTATGCACCTCATGAGTTTGTGTGAGAAGAAATGGAACAATATGTGCAAAGTTCTGTGTGTAATGCCCAAATGTGGGAAGTGCTCAATTACTGAGCCATCACTCTTCTTCACTCCTCAGGTCCACTTGTCCTTGTTTACTGATTCCTTAAGGTACTGAAGAGTCACAGATTCGTTAGTGTACTTTCATCTTGCCTGTCCAGGAGGACTGTCAGCATCTTGGGCCAAGACCATATCTTAAAATTATTTTCTGTATAATAGCATTTTTATTTTGTACTGGGAAAATAACAAGAGATTAGTAAATTTTTGATCAGTGATTGACAATCTTTTTTTAAATGTTTATCCTTTGTAAAATAGTATTTCAAGGAGGGAAAGCAAATGCCACACTTTTGTGAGTATCCTTACTAAAATAAAATGTGGATGGTGGCTTCCCTCTGAGGGTCGATAAAAATACCTTTAATCTGATCTTGCAGGGTGTGTAAATCACCCGCTCTGGCTGCTGACTCTGTGCTCCCATCAGTCATGCTTTACCACAATGGGGAACAACAGCTCTGAATTATGCTAAATGTCAGCCTTGCTGCCCATTAGTTGATTGCTTTCCATTCTGTACATACAGGAGTTATGCAGAATTGATTGCATCAAAGTGATATATTTCAGGTTGGAATATACTATCTTATGCACCCTGGATGCCTTGAAATTTCTATAAACTCAAGTTTTGTAATTGTATGTGGTTACTTTGAATCCTGGCTCTCTTTTCCATGTGTCTATCTTATCATTTATCCTGATAGCATTTAATGTTCCTAAAGCCTACCTGGTTAGGCAACTCAGCCAAAATTGTAACACTCATTAATTAATTAGGGAGGGTATTAAATGCTACAGTAGAACATCAATCATATTAGTCAGTGGAACTTTACTTTTTATTGGAAGATATAATTTAGGGAAAATTTTTGGAATTTTACTTCCTCACATCAGGCTGAAATATACAGAAGTTATTGATCCAGAATGTTCCTACTCATTCCAAGTTTTGCAATTGAAGAATTAAAAAAATTTTCCCATGCTTAGATTCAATCTGCCCTTGACTGTGTATTAACCTTCCAGTGCTACAGCAACAGTTTGAGATTTGGACCAACCCTAATTTTATAATGTTTTGTATTAACAATGATGGCTATTCTTCCAAATTACAGAAGATTTTGTCTCACTTTCATTCTATTAAATGGATTTTTTTTTAAAGATTTATTTTATTTGGCCGGCGCCGCGGCTCACTAGGCTAATCCTCCGCCTAGCGGCACCGGCACACCGGGTTCTAGTCCTGGTCAGGGCACCGGATTCTGTCCCGGTTGCCCCTCTTCCAGGCCAGCTCTCTGCTGTGACCAGGGAGTGCAGTGGAGGATGGCCCAAGTCCTTGGGCCCTGCACCCCATGGGAGACCAGGAGAAGCACCTGGCTCCTGGCTTCGGATCAATGTGGTGTGCTGGCCACAGCGCGCCAGCCGCGGCAGCCATTGGAGGGTGAACCAACGGCAAAGGAAGACCTTTCTCTCTGTCTCTCTCTCTCACTGTCTACTCTGCCTGTCAAAAAATTAAAAAAAAAAAAAAGATTTATTTTATTTATTTGAAAGTTACAGAGAGAGGTAGAGATAGAGAGAGAGGTCTTCCATCCGCCGGTTCACTTCCCAGATGGCCACAACTGCTGGAGCTGCGCCAATCCAAAGCCAGGAGCCAGGAGCCTCTTCTGGGTCTCCCATGTGGGTGCAAGGGTCCAAGGACTTGGGCCATCTTCTACTGACATCCCAGGCCATAGCAGAGAGCTGGATTGGAAGCGGAACAGCTAGGGCTAGAACTGGCACCCATATGGGATGCTGGCGCTTCAGTCCAGGGGTTTAACCTGCTGCACCACAGTGCTGGCCCCAGTTTTTTTTTTTTTTTTTTTAAGATTTATTTTATTGGGGCCAATGCTGTGGTATAGTGGGTAAAGTCACTGCCTTCAGTAGAAGATGGCACAAGTGCTTGGGCCTCTGAACCAGTGTTGGAGACCTGGAACAAGCTCCTGGCTCCTGGCTTTGGATCGCCCCAGCTCTGGCCATTGCAGCCATTTGGGGAGTGAAGCAGCAGATGGAAGACCTCTCTCTTTCTCTCTCTGCCTCTCCTTCTCTCTGCCTGCCTCTGCCTATGCCTCTGCCTCTCTGTAACTCTGCCTTTCAAATCTTTAAAAAAAAAAAAAAAAAAAAAAAACAAGTCTATTTTATTTATTTGAAAGGCAGAGTTAGAGGGAGACTAAGGGAGTTAGAGAGAGAGAGAATCAATCTTCCATCTGTGGGTTCACTTCCCAAATGGCTACAACAGCCAAGGTTGGGCCAAGAAAGAGCCAGAAGCTTCATCTGAGTCCTCCACATGATTACACGGGCACAAGGACTTGGGCCATCCTCCACTGCATTTCCAGGGGGATTAGCAGGAAGCTGGATCAGAAGTGGAGCAGCCAGGACTCTAGCTAGTGCCCATATGGAAGGCTGGCATTGCAGGCTTAACCCAATACACCACAATGCTGGCCCCTAAATGGATTTTTCTAGTATATCTTATTCAAATGTCTGTATATATGATGTATTTTCATTTTATTTAATAAGCTCACCCAAAGTTTAAAGAAGTATACTTCTTCTTTTTTTTTTTTTTTTTTTGACAGGCAGAGTGGATAGTGAGAGAGAGAGACAGAGAGAAAGGTCTTTCTTTTGCCATTGGTTCACCCTCCAATGGCCGCCGTGGCTGGTGCGCTGCTGCCGGGGCACCGCGCTGATCCGAAGGCAGGAGCCAGGTGCTTCTCCTGGGCTCCCATGGGGTGCAGGGCCCAAGCAATTGGGCCATCCTCCACTGCACTCCCTGGCCACAGCAGAGAGCTGGCCTGGAAGAGGGGCAACCGGGACAGAATCCGGCGCCCCGACTGGGACTAGAACCCGGTGTGCCGGCGCCGCTAGGTTGAGGATTAGCCTATTGAGCTGCGGCGCCGGCCAAAGAAGTATACTTCTAAAAATCATTACTCAGGCTGGCACCGCGGTTCAATAGGCTAATCCTCCACCTGTGGTGCCGGCACCCCAGGTTCTAGTCCAGTTTGGGCACCAGATTCTGTCCCGGTTGCTCCTCTTCCAGTCTAGCTCTCTGCTGTGGCCTGGGAGTGCAGTGGAGGATGGCCCAGGTGCTTGGGCCCTGCACCCGCATGGAGATCAGGAGGAGGCACCTGGCTCCTGGCTTCGGATCGGCGCAGCACGCCGACCGTAGTGGCCATTTTGGGGGTGAACCAATGGAAGGAAGACCTTTCTCTATGTCTCTCTCTAACTCTGCCTGTCAAAAAAAAAAAAAAATTACTACTCAATGATTATTTACAGTCCTCATTTCTACTGTTGAGGAATAGTATTTTCTTCTTACTATTTGTTGAACTCTCTCTCTCTCTCTTTTTTTTTTTTTTTGACAGGCAGAGTGGACAGTGAGAGAGAGAGACAGAGAGAAAGGTCTTCCTTTGCCGTTGGTTCACCCTCCAATGGCTGGCGCGCTGTGGCCAGCACACCACATTGATCCGAAGCCAGGAGCCAGGTGCTTCTCCTGGTCTCCCATGGGGTGCAGGGCCTAAGCACTTGGGCCATCCTCCACTGCACTCCCTGGCCACAGCAGAGAGCTGGCCTGGAAGAGGGGCAACTGGGACAGAATCCGGCGCCCTGACCGGGACTAGAACCCGGTGTGCCGGCACCGCTAGGTGGAGGATTAGCCTAGTGAGCCGCGGCGCCGGCCTGAACCCTTTACTTAGTGTAGGGTTAATATTATTATTATAAAGTAAACTGAAAGTAGATCATTGTAAAAATTAAGAGAGGAAGGAAGAAGGGTATGTGGGTGTAAGGAAGGGAGTGTGGGAAGTATCACTATGTTCCTAAATGTGTATATATGAAATACATGAAATTTATATACCTTAAGTAAATAAAAAGAAAAAATACTACTTAGTTAAAAATGTTATTTCAAAAACTAAAAAAGGGGACCAGCACTGTGGCATAGCAGCTAAAGTAACTGCCTGCAGTGCCTGCATCCCATATGGGCACCAGTTCGAGTCCCACCTACTCCACTTCCGATCCAGCTCTCTGCTATGGTCTGGGAAAGCAGAAGAAGATGGCCCAAGTCCTTGGGTCCCTGCACCTACGTGGGAGACCTGGAAGAAGCTTCTGGCTCCCAGCTTTAGATCGGTGCAGCTCTGACCATTGCAGCCATTTGGGGGGTGAACCAGCAGATGGAAGACCTCTTTTTTTTTCTCTCTCTCTCTTTGCCTATACCTATCTGTAATTCTGCCTTTTAATTAAATAAGTAAATCTTTAAAAGAAAAAAAAAAGTAAAAAAGGGAGGGGAAGGAATATCATTATATTTTACAATTCTGTTATTATATTCTTAAACTTGTATATATAAATTATATTGAATCTGTTCTCTTTGTAATATTACATTAACATGAAAAAAATAAAGCATCAGGTGATTAAAAACTTCTAATTAGAGAGAGGGTGTATAGCCTAGTGACTAAGATACCTGTGTCCCACTCTGGAATACCTAGGTTTGATTCTGGGCTTTAGCTTATTTTCTTTAAGATTTATTTTACTTATTTGATAGAGTGACAGAGAGAGAGGGACAGACAGAAAGATCTTTCATTTGCTGTTTCAGTCCTTAAGTGGCTGCAATGGCTGATGCTGGGCCAGACTAAACAGGAGCCTGGAACTCTATCTGGGTCTCCAGTGAGAGTGGCGAGGAACCATCTTCCATGGCTTTCCCAGGTACATTAGCAGGGAGTGTGATCAACAGAGCAGTGAAGACTTGAACTGGCACTCTGATATGGGAAGTTAGCATTGCGGGCAGGAGCTTACCCTGATGTACCACAATGCCAGCCTGCTTGGCTCCAGCTTCTTCCAGCTACTGCAGACTTTGGGATGTAGCAGTGATCATTCATGTAATTGGGTTTAGAACTCTTTCTCTCTCTGCCTCTTAAATAGATTTCTTGATAAAAATCGTTCAGATCTTTTAGTTTTACAGTTTATTGTTTCCTATAAAATTTTCTAAAGATTTATTTATTTATTTGAAAGGCAGAATTAGAGAGAAGGAGAGACACATCTTCTGTCTGCTGGTTCACACCTCTAATGGCAGCAACAGCCAGAGCTAGACCCATCAGGCAGGAGCCAAGAGCTTCTTTCTGGTCTCCCACATGTATGCAGGGTGCAAGTACACGGGCCATCTTCTGCTGCTTTCCCAGGCTCTTTAGTAGGGAAGCTGGTTGGGAAGTGGAGCAGCCAGGACTCGCACCAGCACTCTTGGGATGCTGGCATTGTAGGTGGTGGCTTTACCCACTATACCACAGCTCCAACCCTTTATTTCTTTGTGTATTAAATCTACATAAATGTATTACATTTCCATCTAATAAGTGCAGAGTCTGAAGTCTGCAAATGTGTTTCTGATGTGATTGTTATAACTCGGTTTTGCTCACATATTTGTGTTTTTGTGTGTGGCAAGTTTTCTTTGATTTCTAATGGTCATTACCCTGAAAATAATTTGTTTCAGGATGTCCTGATATCTTGTATGAAAATGCTTGCCTTCAAGGTAGATTTTTTTTACTAATGCCAGTTCACTTTGGGTTCCAGACTTGAGGGATTTTGGCTGCTACGGCTGTGTTCCCAGCTACAAATATTTGGGATGTCCAGGATCTTGCCACAAGTTCATAAGATTATTTTGCCAACTCAAACTTCTCAGCACTTACCTGGGATGGAAAATAGATGGGTTGAGTTCTTGTATACTAGGAGAGTTTAGTCCTTTGGGGTCCCAGAAGAATGTGGCTTGAAAATTCTCAAAGAATCCCCACGTTGAGTACATACTAAATCTTTTTTTTTTTTTTTTTGACAGGTAGAGTTAGACAGTGAGAGAGAGAGACAGAGAGAAAGGTCTTCCTTCTGTTGATTCACTCCCCAAATGGTTGCTACAGCCGGCTCACTGCGCCGATCTGAAGCCAGGAGCCAGGTGCTTCCTTCTGGTCTCCCATGCAGATGCAGGGCCCAAGCACTTGGGCCATCCTCCACTGCCTTCCCAGGCTACAGCAGAGAGCTGGACTGGAAGAGGAGCAGCTGGGACAGAATCCAGGTCCCCAACCAGGACTAGAACCTGGGATGCCAGTGCCGCAGGCAGAGGATTAGCCAAGTGAGCTGTGGCACTGGCCACATACTGAATTTTAATTTCTGTCATCCTTACCCCATGTATTATCTGAATTTATGTCCAAGTTTGTGTTGATAAAGTTTCAAAACAAAAAATAAGCTCTAAAAATTTTTTTTTTAGTTTTGCATTTGTCTCCTTTTCATTATTTTAGCTAAAATACTCAACAGGAGTTTCTTGGGAAAGAGAAGATTTATTTCAACTTACAGTTTGGTGGTTATAGTTCAATAAAAGGCAGCCCCTTACTCTTATGTCTGGTGGAAGCTCATCATGGTGGTTGTGGAGGAGTGATCACATGGTGAGCCAGGAAGCAGAGACAGCAGAACTTAATAACCCTCTTGAGAGGCCAACACTCTGAGGGCATGTCATGCCTCCAGTCACCCCAAGAGCTCCCACAAGCCCTACCTCTTAGTCACCACAATTATATCAAGTCTCCCCTTAATCTATCAACCATTGACATTAAGACATCAGAGTTTAAACATCTGCATAACTTTTGGGGAGATAGATCATACTCATCTGTAACAAGTCTGTAACTTTATTAAGGAATTTCAAGAGAAAAACAAACATCAAAGATAAATGATTAATATGTTGGAACAAATATTAATTGAATGAGCAAGGTATTGTGTAATTTGAGTGCATAACCATGGTAAAATCTACAGTGGTCTTCAAAGAGTTTCTATTCCATTGTAACCTAGAAGCCATTTTGTTAGTTGCTGGGACTGTATGAGGGGACTTAAAATAAAAAGTTCACTGAAAATGGGATTAAAAGATAAGTTTGTGGGACAGTTGTTATGGTGCAGTAGGTTAAGCTACCGCTTCTGACACAATATTGAAGCAGCTGTTTGAGTCCCAGTTGCCATGCTTCCTATCCATCTCCCTGCTAATGTGCCTGGGAGGGCAGCGGAGGATGGCCCTAGTACTTGGATCCCTGCCATTCTCCAGGGAGATTCAGATGGAGTTCCAGGCTCGAGGCTTCAGCCTGACCCAGTCTTGGCTATTGCAACCATTTGGGGAGTGATTCAGAGGATGGAAGATCTCTTTTTCTGTCTTTCCTTCCATCTCTGTCACTCTGCCTATCAAATAAATAAATAAGTAAATATATTAAAAAGATAAATTTATTTTGGTGCAAAAACTTGAAATCCATGCATAGTTTTTATATCATTTGCATTTTTCATGACATTTTTAAAGATTCTGTAAAGAGAATTACTCAGCTTCAGATATATGTTGAAAGTATTTTGGGACAGGATAAAATAAATCACATGAAAACAATAATACACATATAAACAATATAAAAACAGAAGGTTTTTTGAAGTAGCATTTTCCTTATTAGGTATCCTGTAATTCCACAGCAGTGATTCTTCTCTGTGACAGTACAGGGAGTTTGCAGGAAAGGGACTTTTATGGTGTGACGTCAAGAAAAGTAACCAAGGACTTGTGTGCTAGGCAGTTTTGCTAATTTGCTTTCTTCATGATCAGGTTTTCAACTTAGTGCTTTTTACCTATTTTTCTACTTATACAATAGCAAATGACTTTTTTTTCACTTTATTTTTTGAGTAAAGCTTTTCTTAAAAACTTCTAAGAGCCACAGAAATGGTTTCCCTCTCCTAATCTTGCCGGTCTCTGTATTGGCATCTTTCTCTTTGTCTCTCATTGTTATTATAAATGCAAGCATTTCTTACTTACATATCTTACAAGCTTCTTCTTTGTATGATGTTTTCATTTTTACTTAAATTGCATATTTTTCCTTTTATGCTTCTAATGGGATGACAGAACTCATTGAAGTATAAGAGGTCAGTGTTAATACTTTGAATGAAGCAGGTACTTTTCATTTTTTAAAAACTTATTTGAACAATCTGCATTTGTGTTTGAATTTTCATGAAGTCTTAGAGTATGTGCCCTAGTGCATGCCCCTTTTTAAAAGATTAAAAAGGAAAACTATGCATGCTGAAAAGAATTCCTAGTTTGAAAGGAAGCTGTGAGATTCCTTATAAATGTTCATTCTTTTCAAATTGAAGGACATTTTGAAGCATTTATTTTCTTTGGTTTTTCAGGTTGACCGCAATATAGATGTCAACACTGAAGAAGATGATGATGGTGAATTAGCTCTCTGGTCTCCTGAAGTCAAGATTGTGGAGCTATTAAAAGATCATAAAGGTTTGGGATTCAGCATTTTGGATTACCAGGTATAAAAACTCACATAGAAGCAGTTGTGTTTTGTTTTGTTTTTTCAATGATTGGTTTATATTAAGGTTATGTGAATTATTGACTAAAGTACTCATTGACTTAAGTAAAGTTGAATCCCGATGTTGGGATGTTATACTCTGAATTATTCCTTTAAGAGTAGTAGCTCCCTTAGTGAATAAAATTGTGCATGATATAATAACTGAACAGTAAACAATAGTTTTATATCCTTGGATGCTTTTAGATACTAGAACTTGATGAACTTTTTCATATGGAGGACTTTTCCCTCTGCTTTATTGGTGTATATCACATATCATAAAATTCACCCATTTAAAGCATATAGTTCAATTATTTTTCGTATATTCTTGGAGTAGTATGATCATTTCCACACTCTTAATTTTAGAACATATTCAACACCCCCAGAGAAACCCTGTTTACACGTTAGCAGTCATTCCCTAGTGTCTCCCTTCATATAAAGGTTTTTATAGTTTGCTTGCCTCCAAATTTCAATGAGCTTAAATAAATAGAAAATTTTCAATGAAATTATACATATATTATTTATGTATTTACATGTACTCCAATTATTATTAGGGTAAAGTTCCTAATACATTTGGTGGGCATGTGAAAGATCACACAATCCAATTACTGTCATGTTTTTAGACCTTTGGTCATTTGGGAGAATCACAATTGTTGGCAAGTAATCTCTTCACTTTTAAGATGCATATTTTTAATACTTTAGTCTGCCTAAACACATTGTAGTTTAATAAAACAAAAATGTACTCTTATCAAAGCACATAAAATCCATTTTTTTAATGTAATAAAGCAGTTGGGAACAGATTAAAAGGAAAATACTTTGAACATTATGTTAAGAACATTAAATTCTATATTTTGGCAGTGTGATTTAAGATTACTGAAATAGATTGTATCTATTTCATTTTTGCTGGCATATTTTTATGCCAGATAGCTTTCTCTGTTATTAGAACTTCTGTTTAGAATATTATTGAATTGAGTTGTTGATTCCAAATGAATATTTTGGGAAATATTTTTATCAATAAATGTCAATACTGTAAGATTCTGGAAATCTTTATATTGGTTGGTGTTAGGGTATATAAAACAAATGACAGGAACTCTTTTTATTCCTCTGCATTGAACCCTATTACCTAGCACACAGGAGATAGATATTAAGAACTTGCAGAATGATTTAATAAAGTTTAGGTTAGCTAAAGTTAACTGGAATCTAATGAACAAATTCAGTTGGAGTTTGTTAACTATTTTGGTAATTGGGTTTAAATTTAGAGAACACTTTTCAGATGTGCTGTTAGGTACTTGGCTACATTTCCATTATTATAGGAATTTATAAATATTTGCATTCTTATATATTTGTATCATAGTGGTTGTTCTTACCCTTAGATGACATTATCTGTAAGTTTTAGTATTTTGATTATTGTACATATTAAAACAGCAAAGTGTTTTAGGACTTCAAAATTTCAGTAAAGATTGGAAAGAAAAACCTGATTGTCCTTATTAATTCATTTCCTAGTTAACAAGAAAAATCCCCTTATGAGTTCTAAGATTTACAGTTTTAAAAATATTTCTAATCATGGCATTTTTTTCTTCACTGCATTCCTATAGATTTACATTGTAACATTTTTTGCTTCCTGGAATTTATTTTTACTAATAAAATTCTAGGGTTTTCTTTTTCTTATTTTCCTCATAATCATCACATATACTGATATCCATTTCTATACAATTATCTAATTTTTATACAAAAAAGTGTTAGAAATCCTTTTTGCCTTTGTGTTTCTCAGAAAATTAATAGAACATGTTTAATTTTCTAAATATTTAATTCAAATGAAAGGGCTTTGCTTATTTACTTCTGTAGCTAAACCTTTGGAAAAAAAATTCAATATTAAATTGGATTTTTTCATAAGACAATCTTAAGTCCACTTACAGTTGTGTACAGCACAATTTTGCCATTTGTCAGTGTTATGTAAAACTGTCATATACTATGACATTTAGAAGACAGGTAAACAATTTAAAATTTGGCTTGGGGCAAGTTCATTAATTGACTATACCATCCCTTATTGTAATTAGGTAATAAATTCTACAGTTGAAAAATATTTTTTGCAAGGCCAGGCAAAGGTTTAGCAAAAGCCAAGCAAGGCCACATTCTTGCTATTATTATATTTAATGTGTACTGTATGAATTTATTAAGTAGCTGAGTGGGGCCAAGACAGAGTCCTGCCCTGCAAGGCTTAATATATTTGGAATAAGAAACACTGTAGAAACCTTTTAGTTGTAGGCAGAAAGTATTTACAGTAGAGTGGGAGAACTTGCAGATTAAAAAGGTCCTGTATTAGCAGTATTGAAGAGTTTGAAGATTTATTTTATTTATTTGAAAAGCAGAGTTACAGGGAGAGACAAAGAGAAAGACTTCCATCTGGTGGTTCATTCCCCAAATGGTACTCCATCTGAGTCTCCCACATGGGTGGTAAGGGCCCAAGTACTTGAGCCATTTCCACCTGCTTTCCCAGGCACATCAGCAGGGAGCTGGATAGGAAGCAGAGCAGCCATGACTTGAACCAGCGCTCATATGGGATGCTGGCATTGCAGGTGGCAGCTTAACCCACTAAGCCATAGCTTAGTCTGGAAGATTTACCTTTCAGTATTAATTTCATCTAACCACTTTCTGTACTTTAAGGAGTTTTGTCTGTAATAATATGAACTTCTTGAGGAGCCTGACAAAATCATAAATATCGATTTCATTGGTGCTCATGTAACATCTGCATCTGTAAAATGGGAATGAAATGTCTAGGTCAAAGAGCTACGTAGATTAAGTGAATTCATATGTGAGAGGAAATAGGGTATGTTATGTTATTATGGAAATGCATTGCTTTAATTAAATTAATTCGTTAGTTAATGAATTGATTCAATTTGTAAAATAAGCACAAAATTTTTTGATACTGTCCTCAAAGATGACCATTTACTACAATATAATTGTAGTCTGTCCACTTTAAACTATCTAGTTAGATTAGGAAAATTAAGAACTAGATGCCTTTAGTGGAGTTTAAATGCAATTGTAAAATTGCATCTTAAAATGTACCCAACTTTTGATGAGCCATATGTGAATTGCCCAACGATAGATATTGGCCAGAAGTTTGTTTTTTGCATAAATTGAACTGAACTTTAAGAAAAGATGAGTGTGGCCAGTGCTGCGGCTCACTAGGCTAATCCTCTGCCTTGCGGCGCCGGCACACCGGATTCTAGTCCCAGTCAGGGCGCCGCATTCTGTCCCGGTTGCCCCTCTTCCAGGCCAGCTCTCTGCTGTGGCCAGGGAGTGCAGTGGAGGATGGCCCAAGTGCTTGGGCCCTGCACCCCATGGGAGACCAGGAGGAAGCACCTGGCTCCTGGCTTCGGATCAGCGCGGTGCACCGCCTGCAGCGCGCTGGCCGCGGCGGCCATTGGAGGGTGAACCAATGGCAAAGGAAGACCTTTCTCTCTATCTCTGTCTCTCACTGTCCACTCTGCCTGTCAAAAAGAAAGAAAGAAAGAAAGAAAGAAAGAGAGAGAGAGAGAGAGAGGGAGGGAGGGAGGGAGGGAGGGAGGGAGAGAGAGAGAGAGAGAGAGAGAGAGAGAGAGAGAAAGAGAAAGAAAGAAAGAAAGAAAGAAAGAAAGAAAGAAAGAAAGAAAGAAAGAAAGAAAGAAAGAAAGAAAGAAAGAAAGAAAGAAAGAAAGAAGAAAAGAAAAGATGAGTGGACAGATAAAGGATCTTGAAGGAGTGCTTGGAATGATGAGGTGGTTGTTTGGACAAGTTAGAGATTCTTATATTGTTGTAAGTTGTGTTGCTGAGTAGAGCAAAGAAGTATGCCTTTATGTCTATAATTAAGGAGCTGAGTTTGATATCAAATTCTGTAATTCAGTCATATGGCCACGGAGCAACGTGTGGAAATTTCTTCTCAAGAAAGGCATTCACAATTCAGTCAAAGAGAAAGCAGAGAACAACAGGGAAGACAGTAAACGTAGTTCAGGTTGTAAGTCTCTTCCTTAGATTTTCGGGTAAAACTATAATGACTTTATTGGCTATGACTTGAACAGAGGTAGGATGTTTGTTGATCCCAAATATGCCTGGGTGTTACCCACTCAGAATTGTGTGCCTGTTTCCTGGTGAGTTCTGAGACATATACCAGAAGGAGAAATTTATTTGCAGCAAATAAGGAGACCATGGAGAATAATTTCCAAAGCTATGCCTCCTTGAGCTGGGGAAAATGGCTATCTTTTATTATTAGGGGGAAATAAATATTTAGAAAGAGACTCTTCCATCCACCTGTTCACTCCCCAAATAGCCGCAACGGCTGGAGCTGGGCCAATCTGAATTTAGGAGCCACAAGCTTCATCCAGGACTCTCATGTGGGTGCAGCAGCCCCAGCACTTGTGCCATCATCTGCTGCTTTCCCAGGTGTATGTACAAGGAGCTGGATCTGAAGTGGAGCAGCCGGAACTCTAACTGGCTTAATTCACTACACCACAGTGCCAGCCCTGAGATCTTAGTCTTAAGATGAAGCAAAGGGTGACATTTGAATACTTGTTGATCCATCTGCACAGGCAGGCATTGCTTTTGGGGTAGGGTCTAGACCAGTCCAGGGTGACTGGTGATTGTATTTCTTCCTGAAATGTGACTGAAAAGCTGAAAGACAACTTTGAAGAACCTCGGGTGCTCTCGGGTCTTGAAATAGCAGTGAATCACAAGAAAAACTTTTGAGATAGTCCAGGCAGTAACCATAGAGAAAAACGTTACTCCATATAGTGGTTTCTTAAAATCCTGGCTTGTGTGTGCACCACATTAGAAGATTCATTGGTGTATGTATAACATCCTGCCTTACAGCTTGTGTCGTGGGAAATGATGATGTATATCATTTGTCAAGAATGTTGTGGCTTTTAAGTTTATGGTGTAATTTCTCACCAGTTTCGAGGTGAGACTACCAGATTGTACCTTAGTTATCTT